CAGCGCCGGCATCACTCCCTTTCCAAACTACCGACGCGACACCGACCTCGCACGGTGTGGCGGGGTTGACCGTGCTCCACACGCGTTCCATCCTCCCCGCCGTTCTCCACTCGCACCAATTCCCGACGTGCCACACCGCCCTCCATCGCTAACGCCCCCGTCGCTTTGCAAATTGAAAGAAAATGACAATGGCCGGCCCCATGCCGCAGAACTTCATCATCCTCGACCTCAGCTCCTCAGCTCCAGCTACGGCGCGCTGTCAGTCGGTATGTACTTGGCTCGCAAGCGCCATGCGGGGAATTTCGGGCTTGCAATGGTGCGTCGTACTCTTCTCCTCGACGAGCGTATTCCTGACCGCATCTTTGTCATTTCTAGTTATATATATTTTTCGGGGTAGCAACACCTTCAATACATTCACGCAGGCTGACTCCTTCTTCTCGAATGGATACAACGTATTCTGTTTGTATCTAGCCAAATAAAAATTCGGTTTCGACCAGATCCTGCGAGTTTGGACGAGTGTCACATCGGAGGAAGTCAATGTTCGGAAGAGTCTCAACATCATGATGAAAGCGGACGCAGGCTGGAGGTTAGAAATAGCCGCTCCCGCATTATCTCGACTCAGACCCTTCTTACTTTACCCCTGCCATGCTTCACAGCGTCAAGTCCCACGTAGCCGCGTGACGTAATCAAAGGTACGCCGTACACATTGCATGATTCCACCGCTCGGTATCCGAAAATTCACCTGTTTCTCGACCCCTTCGGGGCGTCATACGAAAAATTGGAACGATACAGAGAAGATTAGCATGGCCCCTGCACAAGGATGACACGCTTTTCCGGAGTGGTAGACCTACGGGTCTCAATATTTATGCTGTTTTTTGCAAGCAAATCTTCTGGTTTAGGTGCGCGATTCTCGAGCTTCCCAGCACTGAAGACAGTTGATTTATTTTATGAAACAGGTTTGGAATGCTGCCGGTACCACTGTACTTGGCGCTCAGTGTAAATGCGGCACTTTAAGTTGTTTGCGGCCACTATTGCAATTGCAAGGCAGGAGAATTCTGTCGACATTCGAAAGCTCATGCACCACCAGTCTCTCATCGCTTATCACCTGCAAGTCACAGGTGCTTGCCGTCCAAATCTCGCTGCACGCCTTCCGTGGCCCGAATTTGTGTGAGCACCACAGCTTTTGGGCCATAGAATCACCATGCATTTATCCCATTCTGACAATCAGACGATCATGAAGTCGAATAATAAATTCGCTAAACTCGACCACTGACTGGCTTTGATTCCCAAATCTCAGCGTGAACAGTCCACATTTTTCCCAGCATCGTTTCAGGCCCACGCACGGTTAGTGGAATATTCTTCCCCAAACGCTCCTTATTATCTGAGGAAGAGTCTACCCACAGCCCAGTTGGAACACAGAAACAGTCGATTTTTGAAAGAGTGCAACCTCACCTTCCTGTTATCAACGTCGAAAATCAAAGTAGGCTGTGTGATTTCGATTTCTACGATCTGTGAAGCACAGGGCTTATCATCGTAATTATTCATTATAATAGTTGCGTCACTCAACCCACAGTACGGGTTTTTCATACCTGGTCTGCTGTTCCTCGACTGTGCAACACTTGGATTCGCGTTGTGAGATGGGAATCGAGGAATCTGCGATCACATTATACTGGCACTCTTCCGATTTCGAATTGTCCCAAACTTTTCTGGCGCTATTTGATTCTCTTCGGACACAATGGTTCCCAGCAACCGCATCCTGTGAAATTCAGTAGTGACAAGGAGCACTACAATTCTCGCCCTCAAATGGCACCGCAGTAGCGATTTTTTGAATTATTTCATACGGTTTGCTGACGTGTATGCTTCAGATTGAAGTTCATAAACTAGCCGAATTTGACCCAACTTACCACAATGCCTTATACTGACCGTGACCTACCTGAATCTCATCCGCATATTGCGAGTAGGCATGTTCAAACTTCAAATCATTTCATCTGATCGATATCTGGAAACGATTAGACTCGGACTCGAGGCTATCGACAAGCAGTTGCTTGTATCAAGTACATCCTGCCTCAGTTCGGGCCCGTTATTAACCGAGAAATAAGGTCAAATTCGATTTCTGACCACTGTTGTCCGAGTCGTTGTATCAGTCGCGTACTGATTTGCCCTCGTTCGATCTAGGTCATAGCGGCATCAGCTCTAGGGTGGGCGATCGAAGCACCATTGTTCAAAACCTTTTGCTGATTCGGAATTCAGCTCAGAGTTCTTGAAGAGTTTCATTCAGACTCGAAGGGAACGAACACGCTTCAAATTTCGATTCTTTCGTCTTTGGTGCAATTCCCCGTCGAAGATATGTTTGAGCTCTCGCATGAGAATCATTCATGTGCAGCTGGCGGGCAAAAGTCGATCTCAATCATCAATTTCGCGAATCCATCCATGTAAGTTCTACTAAAACAACAATTCTTTCCGTTTCCTTTCCGCAATACATACACACATACACCAGATCAAATACAGCGTTCACGGCGCCGGACCCTGAACATCAAAAATCCACCCTTTCGCAAACGCGGCCTGAATTCCATCATAAAACACCCTCCCCACCCGCGCGTACGCGGCATCATTCGGATGCGTTCCATCTACGAGATCTCCCAACGCAACAACGGCATGCGAATCGACTAAAACCACCGAGCGCCCCGCATTGACGAAGCCCTGCACGACCCCAGGGAGCGCAGCGTTGTAAGTGTTGATGCGGGTGTTCGCAGCCGAGTTCGCGTTCGGCGGGAGAGTGGAGACGACGACGAGCGTGAGCGGGGGCGCGTCCAGGACGTTTTGGATGAGCTGCGTCAGACGGGCCGGGGCGTTGCCGACGTCGACGTTGCCTGTCATGTCGTTGGTGCCGACGAGGAGGGTGACGATGTTGGGTCGTTGGACGGTCATGGCGGCGTTGCCTTTGTCTCGGACCTGGGAGATGATGAACCCGGGGTAGCCCTCGTTGTCGGGGTCGGCCATGTTGCCGCCGCGCTGGGAGCCGACCATGTTGACGGTGTTGCCGTCGGCGGCGAGGAGGTTGTAGAGCGTGGCGCGGTAGCCGTTGCCGTCGTTGCTGCCTGTGCCGAAGGTAATCGATGCTGAGGTGATGTTAGCGTTGACGGTGGAGAGATAGGTTCGAGGACGCGCACCTCCGAGAGGCATGATTCTACATGTCTTGCCGGAGAAACCAGCTAATGAGCTGGGCAGCAGCGCGAATGCGAGGGTGAGGAAGGCGAATCGCATGACGGAGGATGGGGTTGACGACGAAGAATACGATATCGAGGTCTTTATAGCGATCGGAGGGCTACGCCGAGTTGGATTCCGAGCGGGTCAGGTCCGTGTTCTCGCATGATGTCAAATGATGTCCGAGGTCAGGCGCAGCGTTCTGCATGTGTGCGTGGGGTTGGCGCATTGGCATACTATTGGCATCCACTGCCAGCCAGGTGATTATGACGGATAGCGTTCTTGGATGCTTCTCAATCATCGACACTCTGGTCTGGTGCGTGGTGGTTACGATGACACCCGATTCAGCGACTCAACGCCGAGTGCCTGATTTGGAAGGAGTTTGCTTGCACTTGTTGCCATCCAACCATCACTCCCAGCTTGCTCCCAGCGTATACCCTGGCGTCCCTTCTCCGCCCGTCTCAAGTCTCACCCCTCTGGCTGGCAGCTTGGAGCAACTGTATGCGTGCTTCTTGCGAGGCTGAGCTCGCGTTTGGTGCGTCTGCTAGACGGTTTTCTACTAGAATATCTACGCTGACACTGACTCACTGGCAGCCCTCCGAATCCACTCCCGCTGCCCCTGCCTACTCAACAAGCTCTGAGCAGACGCCTTCGTCGTCCCACGCTGCACGTCCATTCCGACAGACATCATCTGTCCGTCCCGGCGTTCAACTCTGCGTGCGGCTCTATCGACGCGACCCTCTCACCACGAAGCCCGCCGTTCTCGTCATTCTCCTCGTCGACTTGCGTCAACTCTATCTCCCATCAACCGACTGCACGTCGTTCTCTAAACAATGTCGCCCGGCCACCACTCTTATCGTCTACTCCTCGATCAACGGTAACGTCTCGAAACAATCCCGTCCCCTCCTTGTGCGAGGCCAAGCCATCCCCAGATCCGTCGATGCCGCTGTGCAGCTTTCCGAGGGGTCGGGCTTCACTGCACACGATACGTCTGCTAGGCAACGCTAGTCACGCCCTCCAGGCCAGTCTCGGTTATCCAAACGTATATAAGTCAAATCCCTCGACTTTATGGCGGCTCGCAATCCGTGGATACCGACCTCTCCTTGCGCTTTTCAAGAGCACGGTGAGCCTCTCGATATGTATCCTGTTTGATGCCGGATGTACTGACCCATCTCAGGTCCGCAATCCCACAGCCCCCCGTGCCATCGCTCCCCGACTCCCTTCCACCAAACCCGGCGCCTCCGCCAACCCCGCCGACGCTGCTCGCGCGTGGAGTCAATTGTCTGGCAGCCGAAAAATGCTACAGCCTACACTTCCGCACGTTGGTACCACCGGCCCATTAGCATACGTCGTACCAGGCGGCTTCGCTCCCCTACACGGCGTCGACACGATCAACGGGAACTTTGCCGTCGCATGCGCACTCACGACCGTCGCCATTCCTATTCTCGATGTTTCACTCGTCCGCTCGTCAAGTGCACGTCGCAATCGCGTCTTTCTTGCACCCCTGTTTCGCCACTTCACTCCGTGCATCTTCCCCAGCCCTTATAAGTTATTCCACCCATTCAATCCGTCCCGCCTAATTATTACCCTCGGCGTCCCTCTCCCAATTTCTATCGGCTTCTTCGACGCATCTTATTAGCTGTCGTCTGACCTCGGTTATCTTTCCTCCCGATGCATTGGATTTGATTTCTGGCACCCTCTTGCTTTTCCTGTCTCAATGTCTGAAGAAATCCATTCGTCTGTCTATTTTGTCGACCGGTCGCATCGAGTCTCCACCCGCTGCACTCTCCTATCCTGGCCGCCTGGCGAAATGGCATCGCGTCTGACTACGATAAATGTCCACAACATGTTTAATCAGGAGATTGCAGGTTCGACCCCTGCGGTGGTCATGACAGGGGGTTTTCCTCCCGTTTTTGCTTTTGTTTTTATGCCCGAGAACAAGTCAGTATTTCCTTGCACTTTGTGAATAAAAGTAATACTCAAGCAAAACCCTTGGAATGCAAATAAGATCTAAGAAAACCTGCATTCTCTTCGACTGCTACTATATGTGATTTTCGAGTCGCCCACAAACTTGAATGAAAATGATGGAGAGCAGCTCATGCTGACCTTCATTCTGTCTAAATCTTTTCCAGGCTTGAGAATGAACCGAACTAAGTACCATGATGAATGTAATGTAATCAGTAAATATGTCGAGGGACTGGGCGATATGTATTCTAATTCTGGTTTAGTTCATGGAGGAGTGGTCATTCGAATGAGATTCATAAGCTGCGTCGCGTGCTACTTATATTTCGACTGTGAATTGAGGGATCGTCAGGATGTCGCAATCCTCGACGCATCGTTTACACTGATTGCGGGTAAGACAACTGGACTTGAATGCTAAGAGACTGATTGCGCGAGGTTGTTTTACCGTTGGTCAGGGGAGAATGTATCGACAAGGCCAATTGTCAGCTTCGAATTTCATACGAACAACATCGGAATTTGACTGCGTTGCTGGCTCTGCCTGACATTTTTTTTGGGCATTGTACTAGGACCGAGGATTGAATGCCTAGAAATTCGGGCAGAGAAATTGTCAATTTTCGTGCAGGACGTCATGCAGATTGACTCGCAATTAATCATAGAAAACTGCATATGCGGAGGCCCGAACACAAGCTATCGAAGGAAATGCGACACGATAGGCCTCCTCCGATGAGATTGCTGCACCAGTGATCCGTATTTCCTTGAGCTTGCAATTCGATTTAGATATGAAAGATTTCAGCGTCTCGATGGGCTGGGGCCTAAGAGTGTCTTCAGAGATGCGCAAGATTTCGAGATTGGGTACCATCAAGCTCTCGAGAACATCATCCATCTCACCATCGTCATCCAAACTGATGTTCAGGGATTCTAAACGAGGTAGAGAAATCTCTGGACCCAGGTCATCTGGATCGCGGACAACATCGTAGCAATACAGTGTGCAGTGTACCAAGCGGCGAGTCTGTCGCAGGATACGCCTGAAGTCGGGAGTTTTTCTTATGCGTAACGTGAGGGAGGTCAATTGTGCCCATGGCAGATCAATGACCCCGGCGTGTTGCGCGAAAACCGTCACGCTGCACAGAAGAGGGGCGGATAATGAGTGAATGAGAAACGGTGTCGCGGAGTGTGTTCGCGGTATAAACAAGTCCAGAGAGCGAAGCGACGGAAACGGGCCGTCCTGCATGTCCGTGGGGAGGTGATCGAGAACGGATAGTTTCAGGTGTTCCCAACGTGCGCGTTCCGAAAGGAGGACAGAAAGAACTGGGGTCAAGTCCGCTGCATGGATGGAAAGAGAGCAAGAACCCGACCGCTTCAGCCACAAGCTCGTTAGGCGGAAGGCGTGCTGCGATTTCAAAGATATTCGTTCTGGGGTCACCAGGCTGATAGTCCTCCACAGTTGGGGCGTTCCGATGGCGATCTCGCGCCACTGGTGACAAATTAGGGTCAATATGGTCGGCGAATAGTTGTTGAAGGGTGAAGGCGGTTGGGGGTAGGGTGGAATAGTGTGGACGAATATCTCGGCGACGATCTCGGTGGGCAACGAAAGGACTGGGTATTTGTAGGACTGCAGCCGCTCCCAAATGAGTTGCTGAGCATCTCGCACTGCAGCTAGAGTCCGGGCCATGACGGCCATCTGCGCTTCGATATCGAGAATCTCAGCTCCCTTTTGCGCGAAAAGAGCGCGGTCTTGCTCCATGTGCGACAGCATAATAACTGCAATCTACAAGCTTCAACGAACAGCGCGTAGAAACAGCAAGGGTAACCCCAGGACAGAGGGGGGGTACGAGGCAAGAGCTTGGTGATGATGGTCAGTGGCAAAGAATTTTCAGGTCACGCGTCACTGAGCCTTGTTCTTGACCACGACTATCTTCTCGCTTCAAATTTTCTACGAGCCCCAACCTTGGGCTGGACAAAAGTTCTTGGAGTAGTACTTGGTATACTATGTTACCCGTGGCCAGCTATAGTATAAGATCGCGACTCAGCGCCCAGTCACCGTGATAGCTTCCCGCTGCCGAGTCAGGCTTCTCTTCAAGTTCCTTGAAGTTCTTGCTTTTACTATCCTCATGGCCGCAAATCTTCGACGTCCAGAATGTGGGTCTCTAGTTGGGGATGGTTCTGAGCCTGATACGAATTCGTTTCATTGAAAAGTAACTTCGCTGTCCGACAATCATTGAGCTGCGCCTGGTCGTCGCTGGCTATAAATACCTTCAGGTCCGCACTGAGCACTCTGCTTGAAAATATGACGGTATCCGACACCGAGGGCGGCGGCAGTGGTGTCGTGGCTCCTCAATTGCGTGCCATATCCTTGGGGAGCCCCATGCGCCTAGCGTCCACAAGCTATCTCGACTATGACCTGTTTTTGAAGATGGTGAGGTCGCGACGCAAGTCGGAGGATTGCGCGCTCGCTACTTCTGCGGTGATCTTGCATTCTGGGTCAGGACCGGATGTTAAGGCGCTCAATGAGATCGAGGCTCTGCGCCGGGAGGGTAATATGAATTTTCCGGTGATGATTGGAGAGGAGGCTCTGGATATTCTGGACTATTGGCTTTGCCATTCGAGGTACTAAGGGCAATTCATTTCTTCCTTGAGCATGTCGAGTGATTTCTGGTAACATTACTGACTAACTGTCAATGGTATCATGACTCGAACGAAAGGAGCACGAAGAGCAAGTCAAGTACATTTGGGATGACGGTGATATTGAGTAACTAAAATCCACCGCTTTCACGTATTGTCAAGCGCTGAGCTATGGATCTACGTCCTTGCTGGGGAAGCTGGGCAGCGGTTTTCTTAGCGGTTTTCTTATCGGCAAATACCTGAGAGGTCATCGTTAGATCGTGCAGAGCTTCGTGCTAATCGGCTCACGTTTAACTAGACCATGCGATCGATCACAACCCTAGCTATTGAGGTAAAGGCGGCACGATAGGACGCCGGCTCGACAACAGCAACATTAACGACCTCCATCTTCTTGAGCTTGCAATGCGATTTAGATATAAAATATTTCAGCGTCTCGATGGGCTGGGGCCCAAGAGTAGCTTCAGAGACGTGCAAGATTTGGAGATTAGGCACCATTAAGCTCTCGAGCACATCATCCATCTGAATCCCACCCCCGGCATTCAGACGGATTTCCAGGGATTCCAAGTGATGTAGAGAAATTTCGGAGCCCACCCCCTCGGTATTGCGTACAACGTCTCGGCAATAGAACGCACAGTGCACCAAGCGGCGAGCCTGTCGCAGGATACACCTCCTGAAGTCGGCTGTTCGCTCGATCCATACCTTGAGAAAGGTCAATTGTGCCCATGGCAAATCGATGATCCCGCCGCCTGTCGACCGAAAAATCACGCTGCGCAAAAGAGGGGCGGAGTGGAGGGAAAAGTGCGTCTGGGAGTGCGCTCTTGTTCTAGTCAAGTCCAGAGAACGAAGCGACGGCAACAATGCTTCCTGCAGATCCACGAGGGGATCATCAAGGATGGATAATCTCAAGTGTTCCAGACGCATGCGTTCCGGAAGAAGAACGGGAAGGATCGGTCGCAAGTCTTCTACGTAGACGGAAAGAGGGCAGGAGCCCGAGCGCTTCACCCACAAGCTTGCTTGGCGAAATGCTTGCTGCGAGTCAAACGATCTTCGTTGTGGAATCGGCAGATTATAAGCCACCAGGTAGATAGTTTTCCACAGTTGGGGGGTCCCAATGGCAGTCTCGCGCCACTGGCGACAAATTTGGGTCAGAACGGTCGACGGGCAACTGCGCGGTGGAGGCGGATCAGGGTAAGGAGGAATAGTGTGGATGAATATTTCGGCAACGATCTCGTTGGGCAACGAAAGGACTGGATATTTGTACGACTGCAGCCTCTCCCAGATGAGTTCCTGAGCATCTCGCACCGCACGTCGGCTCTGGACTAGGGCAGCCATCTGCGCTTCAATGTCAAGGATCTCAGCTTCCATTTGGGCGAAAAAAGCGCGGTCTTGCTCCATGTGCGAGAGCATTAGTAATGACAGCGGTCCAGATGCTTCAATAACGAGCACAGTGCGGGGCTAGAAAGAACAGGTATCCCCAGAATAGACGATAAGTAGGAGGTACTGTAACAGAAGCTTGGAGGTGATGGTCAGTGAGAAAGAATTTTCAGTGAATTTTCAAGTCACACGTCACTTGATTTCTTTGTTCTTGACCACTATCTACATACTTACGCCGTTACGGTGTTCTCGCCTTGAATCCTCGACCAGTCTGTACATTTGCCTGGCTCAAGGTTCTCTGGATACTTATGCATACAATGCTACGCGCTGCTGGCACCTGTATAGATTGACGGCAACTAGTAACCGGCGCTCACCGTGATGGCTTCCCGCTGCGCGTTTCCCAGTCCTCCTCTTGCTCCGAACTGTGACGATGACCGCAAATATCCGATGTCCTGAATGCGGATTCTTAGTTCGCGAAGGGCTTGAGGCTGATACAGAATCGTTTTCATTCGCCGTCCGAGGTGATACAACACCTGAGGTATGTACTTGAAAAACTGCGTCGTGTGTTCTAGAGTGATCAAGCTCATGGAATTTAGTACCACAGGCTTTTGAACTCCAATGACTGTCCCGAAGATCTTCAAGATTTGGACGTCGTCGAGTCGGTCATGTCTCAAACCGAGAGTTGTCTAACGCGTATCGAATCCAACATCACTCGATTGCGGGCGCGAATGAAACAATTAGAGACCCAGAAAGCCTATTTAGCCGAATATCTAGCTAAAAACAAAGCAATCGTCTCCCCGCTCCGTCGACTTCCTCCTGAGCTCTTACTGGAAATTTTTTCCTGGACCCTGCCCTCAATTCTGACTGTGCGCAGACACGGCAGCCTCAACCTCGCCGAATCGCCCTGGGCTCTCTCTCGTGTGTGCAGCAG